CTTCAATCCAACCTTCTTTTATTTTGAACTCATTGTAAAAACTTAAAAATTTAAAATACTCTACGTTTAATCTACGAGTATAATGGAATTTAAATATCTTAAATATCTAACACATAAATTTTTCTTCAAGCAACAGCAACATCCAAATTGACATGAAATTGAAACGGTTGCCCGGAGTTGTGTTAAAGTTACTCGAAATAAAATTTTTAGTAATAATAATAATAAAATAAAAGGAATCAATTTAACGTGAATGCTTTTCGCTTCGATATTTTAGGGACTTTAATTACAAAAATCATAGTAAGAAATTCAAACATTTCAGTAAACATTTATTGCCGATAAACATGAGTCTTCGTAAATGAATATCACTATATTTGAGTATAGAAATTTTTATGGAGACAAAAAGAAAACATTGAATAATAATAGAAATAGTAATTAAAAATGCAAAATGCAAAAATGCGATGTTTGTAGGCGTGTCAGGAGGCGACACGAACCACGCCCCCATACCACATCTCCCCTTTTTTTCTATATCTATGGTCAAGACCAGCCTTTTTATTTTTATTCCTCGTTTTAATGTGATGTCTGTCTGTGATGATTTTTCGTAAAAAATACTTTAAAAATTCGCAAGGCTAATTCCCTGTACGAAACTCAAATAGTTGAGTAAGAAACTCAAGATGCCACTCTTCGTAAATATATAATAACGCACACATCTCAACATAGCCCCGCACTAGGGAAACCCTGTGTCGCGGGTGCCATAGACACACACATAGACAACCACAAATTACACCCAAACTCACGAGAGAAATAAATGTAGGTCATACAAATATTTCTCCCTATATTAAATAAATATAGACGCTTGAACCTGTTGAAATTGTTTCTGAGTGCTTGGATGTCAAACCTATGTATGTTTCACATCCAAGCACTCAGAAACTGTATAATAACCAAGTTACCTACAACGTTTTTGTTCTCTATCATTTTAAACCTCGTAAATGGCAAATTTAGAATATCAACCGGAATCTTATTTTAGAAGCCTGATTGCCCCATAAATGAATTTGTGGAGACGACAGTCAACTACAACTGGTATATTTTTTTACCGCATATTAATGTTATGTCTATAATTATTTTGCACGATAAAAATGAATGAATAATGGTCTTCTTATCATAAATTACGTTTAAGAGTGTATGTGACGCAAATTGTAAGGATGTTAATTTCTGTAAACTTATCTGTCACAGACATTCCGGGATCCAGATGGTAAATTAAACTAAGAGCGCGTTCCCATTATGTCGTAACGGTTTATTTATCGTTGAACGACTGTCGTGTCTAACCTGTTCCCATATCACGACTATCTGTCGTGACTGTGTCGTGGACGTTTATTTTATCGTTGAACGACTGCCGTATCTAGCTGTTCCCATTAGATCTGTCGTCACATTTTTATCGTGACGTTTTACCGTCAGACGACTGTCGTTTTAGCTCTTTCCATTATCTCGACAGTCTGTCATCGTAACGTCAAAACAGTCGTGAAGGACAGTTAATCGTGTTGTACTATATGTGAACAACTTCATCTAAATATACAAGCCACGACACTTGAAACTGCACGATATCTGTCGCCACGACATAATGCGAACGTTTCTGCAAAAATTCTACTGTCATTACGTTCATTTTCTTTCCACATAATATACTGTAATTTTTATTTAAAATACCAATTGCAATAAATATTGTTTGTTTTTGGTACATTATGAAAACTTTACCATTTCTTTTTGTAACCTGATTGATAGTTTAGTTAGAAATAAGCATGTGTGCCACGTAAAAATTGGAAATGTGACAGGACTCATCCCATATGAAATGAACACTAGGTACGTTACACACACAATTGACATAAAGTTTTTATGCTATGGTTACAAATGTTACAAAGCTGACACCAGTTGTTTGTAACGAGTAGAACCAGTTATTGTATTTTTAAAACAAAAAACGACCAGATATGCTCTGTCCTTGTGATAATAAAATAAATACGTCCAAATCGAAATTGTAATAATTCTTAATACTGTCTCCCATAAACGATACAAAAACACACTTATTTACATTGGTAAACGTTCTATCCGTGAACGAGAGCACGATAACCATAAAAAAATACCAATCATGATGATACTTATTTAGTAGTAATAAGTAATAAGTATTTCTGTATGTAAATATTTCTGCTCACGAATACGGAATAGGAATGCCGTAACCGAATGTTTTATATTTTTAGAACAGGTCTGTGGTGGCACTTCGGACCAGTGTTGGGCAAAATTTAATTGTTCTGGCAATTAAAGTTTGACAATTGATTAATTGTCAATTGCGAAACAGCAATTAACGATTGATCAATCGTTAATCGCAAATATCTACAATTAACAATTAATCAATTTTCAATCTTTTCAATGTTTTTGATTAACAATTAAAACTGACAATTATGATAAATTTATATATTAAATATGGGGGTGAGTTAGGCCGTTGGCTGTGGGGGCCTGCTGGGGGCAGGTTAGGGGAATGTTGGGGGCCTGCTGGGGGCAGGTTAGGGGGCCAGTTGGGGGCCCGGTTGGGAGCCCCCAACCGGGCCCCATAAACGGGCCCCAAACCGGGCCCCCCAACCGGGGCCCCAACCGGGCCCCCCAACCGGGTCCCTAACCGGGGGCCCCAACCGGGGCCTCCAACCGGGCCCCCCAAGCGGGGTTCCCAACCGGGGCCCCCAACCGGCCGGAATTGATTTTAATTGCATCAATTGAAATCAATTGCAATTAAAATCAATCGCAATTAAATCAATCGCAATTAAATCAATTGCGACGCGTCGCAATTGATTTCATTGCAATTGATTTCAATTGAATTGATTTTTATAATCTGATTGATTTATTGATTGAAATTTAATTGATTAACGCCCAACACTGCTTCGGACAAACATAAATTACTATATTTCAGTTTTGTACATTGAAATCACATTGTGCCTATCAAATATTTAAAAAAAATTGTAACGGTAAGGCTGCTCGTGAAAGTGTTCGTCCACGCAAGTACTGCCACTTTACTTATTTACCAATGGTCGGAAAAAGGTGGTCCACATATATAGGTACATGTATAGATAAAGCTACAAGGAGCGACATACAATTGTTAAAACCACCAAATAATTAATTAATTACTGTTTCGAATTCCGGATTTCTGGAAATGGCTTTACTGCAACGTAGGACAAAACTACTGACCTAGGAAGTCGAAGTTGGATTTTAAAATAATTCTAATGGTGCCATGTAAAAAATGCAGTAGTTAGCTGGCCAAAACAGAGAATAAATAAAAAGTAACGAGAATGGTCACTCTCCGCCCCTCCATAGCTTCAGATACCGCATATTGACGGTCACATTGACGGAACGGCGACTTTTGCTAGAAAAAAAATTAATTTAAAATTTTTATTTACGAGGGATTTTTACATTTTAGTTTGCTCGAGAATCGTTGTGATCGCACTAAAAATATTTTATTTAAATTGAAAAACACAGTATAACAGATGTTCATAAATTCGAACCACTCGCAGAAATGTCGTATCAATTTTACAAGGAAAATGTTCACACTGGATTATTTTAATTTTACTAAAAAAAACTGCTAGACGCTTAACAAGACGAAAACGTGCCATTATTGACGGCCTTACCCATGGACGGCTATTTATCTTCATAAATAGAATAAAGAGAGGAGTTTCTTTCGTCCGGAAATCCGAATTTCGAAAAAGTAATTAATTCATATTTAGTGGTTTAACAACGCTATGTCGTTCCTTGTAGCTATATTTAAACATGTATCTATGTTTGTGACACATGTTATTCCGACCAAAAAAACTAAGTTACCGACGCATATCCTATATTTTCATTTATAATAGCATTTCCGTATAATGTAATAGTTTAACAAGCACTAAAAATTATGAAATTTATAAGCTAAAAGCGAGTGTTGTTTTCATATTCTTATTAGCACAAAAGTTTTTGATAGTTTAGTAAATAGCGTAATATTCGTATTTTGAATTTAAAAGCTCATTTTTTCATTTCGGAGCTTTTATTACTACCCAATATTGTTATCGTACTACGATTGTTACAGAAATCACATAATTTTCGACTCTAATTCTATTTTACGAGTGAAGACTATTTATGTCTAATTGCATAGGAGAGGGTCTGATTTTGCCTCTTACAAAGAAGCTCTGTTCTGGCCCATAAGCGTGAAACACACTGACAGCGGGTGCGGTTTGGACGCGGGTCGGGTCGGGAGCATGGCGGGTGTATCCGACCTGCGCTCGTCTCGCGCCCGCGCGTGGTGTCTTGTCGTCCGTGTAAATACACGGAATTACACCCGCCGGCGCCGTGCCTTCAACCTGACATGCGACCGGCCCGCACACGCTGTCAGTGTGTTTTACGATTTGCAGATATTGGTTAAGCTCTTTTCAGACTTCCTTATGCTTCATCTTCGCTTTGAAGGGTAAAACGTGCTGCCGCCGCGCCCATTTAATTATTGTATTGACTCTGGTATGTTGTATCTAAGTAAATTTCGATGACAAACATTTATTATCTTGTTATTGAATATTACGGAACAAACTGTTTACTCTTTTACAATATTGTTTGTTTTTATAGGATTTGTTGTTTTTCGTTTTTTTTCCTTTATACTTAAAATACATATTATAAATTTGAAGTCATTTCACTGCGTTTTCGTGCACATACTTAAGAGATGGAATACACGGATAGAAGTAGAATATACGGCCTAATCAGTACGATGAGTTATTGCGATTAACACCTGGCCTGGTCATTAAAGACTGCAAAATTGTTTATCACGGCAATTTCCGCCCTACAATGACTAACGACATTCAGAATTAGGATAATGCTATTCAGATTTTAATTGACTATCGCCTTACTTTATAGGTAGGTAATCGAAAATGTATGTACTTATTTTTTGAAAATCAAAAGAACATACCTACTTGCTTCAAACTTCACATACCTTCTCTTCTTCTTTACAGATCGTTCCTATCAACGCAGAACCGAAACTATTCGACAGCTACTACAATGGCTGTTGCAATGGTACATTCTGGCCGCTTTTCCACTCCATGCCTGACCGTGCCACCTTCATCGCTGACCACTGGAGGGCATACATCAAAACCAACGAAGAATTCGCTGAAAAGACTGTACATGCTCTGCACTTGCTGAAGGAGAGCAACGAGAAGAATGGATCTCCTCCCATCGTCTGGGTTCATGATTACCACCTCATGTTAACGGCTAACTGGATCCGACAGGTTCGTTGAAAGCATAACAACTTAGTATCTTACATAATTTCAAAAAGTGTTCCGGTTTTACCTATTAGAACTGTTTTCACAGAGAGCCGAAGAAGATAACATAAAATGCAAACTGGCATTCTTCCTTCACATTCCTTTCCCACCCTGGGATATCTTTAGACTGTTCCCGTGGTCCGATGAAGTTCTTCAAGGAATACTCGGTAAATATCATTACTATATACGTTGATACATAGAAGCAGTTCTAGAAATTAATACAAATCGTAATGTCTCTTTACAGGTTGTGACATGGTTGGGTTCCATATTACAGACTACTGTCTAAATTTCATAGACTGCTGCCAAAGAAACCTAGGTTGCCGTGTGGACAGAAAGAACTTGCTTGTCGAATTAGGTGGACGCACTATTTGCGTCCGACCGCTGCCCATCGGAGTGCCCTTCGATAGATTTGTGCAGCTAGCCCAAAACGTGAAACCAGTGCTTCAAAATCAAAACCAAAAGATCATTCTTGGTGTCGATAGACTGGATTACACCAAAGGTCTAGTGCACAGATTGAAAGCTTTCGAAAGACTACTGCATAAACATCCCGAGCACATTGAGAAAGTGGTGTTATTGCAGATATCAGTGCCATCAAGAACAGATGTAAAAGAGTACCAAGAACTGAAAGAAGAAATGGATCAACTTGTCGGAAGAATCAACGGGAGATTTACTACGCCTAACTGGTCCCCAATCAGGTAATTTTCACGAGATGATTTCGCCGAAAGAAACGCTGCCAGGATATCGTTTAGTATGTTTGATTTTAGGGTTTAAACAGAGGAGTTTGCTGAAAATAGAATGGCTGATGGCTGATCCATTAACGGAATATTTACGTATTAAAGTTTGGGTGAGACCTTTTAATGTCGCATTAGAACGATGGTAAAGGGTTTTGATTTTGTCGTGGATGTATTGGTGGCACGCCATTGATGCATGCTTTTCTTTTAGATATATCTACGGATGTGTGGGACAAGACGAGTTAGCTGCTTTCTACAGAGATGCAGCAGTCGCTTTGGTGACCCCCCTACGTGATGGCATGAACTTGGTAGCTAAGGAATTCGTGGCTTGCCAGATCAACAAAACTCCAGGCGTTCTAATCGTTTCTCCTTTCGCCGGAGCTGGAGAAATGATGCACGAAGCTCTCATCTGCAACCCTTATGAACTCGACGATGCAGCTGAAATCATCCACAGGTGAGATATACTAAAACAAGTTTGCCAAAGTTAAATTATAAAGGGTACCATCGGAATCAAAGTGAAAGTATTTACTGCTTACATGTGTTACATAGATATTTTAAAATTTAAATAGCACCAACATCACCCTGTTCGGGCGCTGTAATTAGAAGCAGGATTCAGTGATAATTATCACAATAATATTAACCATATGTGGTCTGTGATATTTACCAAAATAATAGAATATAATATAGAGGGTAACTGAACAAACAAATAAAATAAAGAGGGTATCTCAGAAGTGGTCCCATTTAAATTTGAAGAAAATATTCGACCTCTAAGGGTGATAAACAAAATTTTCAGGTCGGTTTTTTAGTACTCTGTACCGAGGTTAGGTTATTATCAAATATGCTTTATGATGTTTGGTAAATAAATTATATTGCGTTTGGAATGAAATGTCTTGAGGGATTCTATTATAGATTTGCATAAAGGCGCGTTCCCATTACGTCGTAACGTTTTATTTACCGTTGGACGACTGTCGCGTCTAGCCTCTTCCCATATTAGGACTATCTGTCGTGACTGTGTCGTAGACGTTTATTTTCATCGTTGAACGACTGTTGTGTCTAGCCAGGTCTAGCTGTTTCCATTAGATCGTGCCGTCAATTATCGGTTCACGGCAGCCGCCTGCTGCACGACTATCTGTAACTATTACAAATGGTCCTGTGTACATTTATACTTTCGAGCTAGGTAGTGCCAATCTATTTTTATATCTGACGTTAAACGGTTGACTGTAGGTCGTTTTCTTTAGCAAAAAAACCATTGACTTACAATTATATGGACGTCGGGTCCGCGCTAAAAAGTGTCCGCACTTGTAAGGCGCTAAAATCGTATACAGAGCGCGACACTCCGCTTTAGTCTTCATGTGTTCTACTGACATTACAATTTAAATTTCGAATAGGTTGATTTGGGACATTTTTTTCGTGGTTTTTGTATTAGACCCGTCGTCCATTTATTTGTAAGTTAATGAAAAAAACGTTTGCTTTTATTGATGTATATAATTTTATATGCATTTTCAACGGACTTCAAAAAAAGGAGGAGGTTCTCAATTCGACTGTAAGTTTTTTTTATGTATGTTACGCGATAACTCCGGTATTTGTGAATCGATTTTCATGATTCTTTTTTTGTTGGAAAGAGGTATCTCCATAGTGGTCGCATTAATTTTAAAGAAAATCTTCCAGGTCTAAGGGTGACCGTTCACGCATGAAAATTCATTTTTATAAATAGCGCCAAAATTTTATTATAAGGAGCAATTATTTTAATGGTTGATTTTGCTATTCTCCAATTCAAGGCGTTTTTCTCTCAATATACTTTGAGTAGAGAGAACAGATTTTTATTATCTCCTTTGTCAAGTTCCGAATCCGGGTTTGCGGACTTTCCGGTAACCGATTATAATAAAACTTGGGAATTATATGTAATTCCACATACTTTTGTGGTCGGTTTTTTTCGTACTCTGTACTGAGATTATTCTAAAACAAATAAGAAGTGCACAAAGTGGTAGAGATTTAGGGGCTTCTTGCACTAATCAGATATTTAATTCAATGAAGTGTGGTGGTGGTATGTCTACGAAAGCTGTACGTAGACATAAAATTTATAATAACTATCGAAACGCTGCTTCAGTTTCACGGGGTGCTTAATATGTATATCAAATACTAGCATACCTCGTAAAGCAGCCATTGCGTCGACAAGTTAATAGAAAAATTATGTTTATGAAACAAAACGTGACTGTGTACTATAAAATCAATGATTACGGTCAAGATTTATTGAAAAACATTCGGGTTTGATTCTCAAACATATATTTTCTCTGATAATCTTATGTGGTATGAACATATTAGACTAGTTTATAAAGTCATACACCTACAGGTATGGCTCTATATAACTTTATGTCAGGTTGTGTAACGTGCAAACTAGACACGACCCAAAACTTAGATCACGCTTCTTCTGAAGAATTCTTACTCAGTCTTATCCCCGCAAATTTTATTTCCGCAGCTTCCGTTTCATACATATGAACAATAGGAACATAATGCTATGTCAATTATGTAACGTACAAACTATGTACTTTGTACGTTCCGCGGCAATGTAAATTAAACCTTAACTATATAATCTATCACAATGTTTAACCGACTTTAGAAAAAGGAGGAGGTTCTCAATTTGACTTTCTTAAATTTATGTTACGCGACGGTTTTGATGTGTCTTTTTTGTTGGAAAGACGGTACCTCAATAGTGAACCCATTTAAATTTAAAGAAAATATTCCACCTCTAAGGGTGGCAAACTAGGGGATGAATCTGATTTCAATAAAACTTGGCAAAAAGATGTAATTCCACAAATTTTTGAGATCGATTTTTTAGTATTCTGTACTGAGATTATTAAAAAACCAATTTGAATTTATTTGTAAATGGGGTAAAGTACAATTTTCCACAAAAATTTGATAGTACCTACACGTTTAGTTGTGACCATGCGTAACACTTAATATTTAATGAGCGCCTTATTTCATATTATACAGTATATAATAATCATTATATCTATGATATATTGCACTGGTCATGATATAAAGTGCATGTACCTAATTAGGACTCTAATATACTTGTATAAGTAAGTAATCACTGTGCAAGTAATTAATAGTTAACGTTATATTAGAGTTCAGGCTATATTTTGTTTGTTGTAAGAATCGCTACGACGACCATGACGAGAGAACCAATCTGCAAATTTCAGACATCGATGTAAACTTGCAGAGCCCTCATAATGCCGGAAGATGAGCGCATCGTGAGGATGAACAACCTCCGCAGAAGAGAGCAACTCAACGACGTCGACTCCTGGATGAAGGCTTTCCTCAAGGCCATGGACTCCTTGGAAGAAGATGCTGATGACATCGGAGCCACTACCATGCAGCCCGTCACTATTGATGACTTCGACGAGTATTTGTCTAAGTAAGTAAATTCTAGATCCTCGTATTATTAGCACCGAAAATCTGGTTTTAAGGTGATGGTGTATATTTTTTGGTCGCTTACTATGTACCTCATAAGAAGGCTCAAGGTCACTCAAAAGGCAATGGAAAGGGCTATGCTAGGAGTTTCGTTGCAAGATCGAATCATTAATGAGGATATCCGCAAGGGAACCAGAGTAACCGACATAGCCCTAAGAATTGCAAAACTTAAGTGGCCATGGGCAGGGCACATTGCTCGCAGAACAGGTGGCCGATGGGGCCGATGGGGCCGAAGAGTTCTCGAGTGGCGACCGCGTACCGCAGCGCGGCGTAGGCAGACCACCACAAGGTGGACTGGTGATCTGGTGAAGGCTGCGAGAATCCGCTGGATGCAAGCGGCGCAGGACAGATCGTTGTGGCATTCTTTGGGGCAGGTCTATTTTCAGCAGTGGACGTCTTTTGATTGAAATGATGATGATGAATTATTAATACAAAGATCGAACACAAAGTAATTGATACAAAGATCAAATACCGCGGTATGACGAAGTCGCTGGTTCGTATCCAGTCAAATTGAAAGAATTTTTCATTGTATTAATAATAATAATAATAATAAACAAACTGGTGGAGTCATTTCACATAAATAAATGAATATCATGATAGTAAAACATCGTTATGTACAATAAACTTAATATTACTAGGAAGATGATCTCACTTATTTAACTGCATCCGTGCCCGAACGGTTACCACGCCGGACTGCCACGCAGAGGTCCCGTTTCGATTCCCGTGCCGGGAGAAATATTTGTATGGCCTACATTTATTTCTCTTGGATGTCATTTGTGGTTGTCAATGTGTGTGTCCATGGCAACCAACCGCGATATAGTTTCTCTAGTGCGGGGCGCACGCGTTCATAGCCCCCAGGGCTATGAACGCGTGCGTGCGTTATTATTATTATCCCTGCGCATAAAATTTTTTACGGAGTCAATCAATCAATACTTGACATTCTAAAATCATGCGCTCTACATATTTTATTTCCTTAACATCCGTACATATAATTATATTTATTACGTGCTGGAAATGAAACTATTCTTTCGGATCTAAATGTAACCTGTAAAGTACCCGAAACGCTGGTTTATTGTAAAAACTAATACTTATAAAGCTATTTACAATCGCGATAACCTGAGAACTAACTTAAATAATCAATTATTTCGTAGACTTCAATCCAAGTTCATCAAATAGAGTCGTTCATAATAAACTGCAATAGCGGTTAGGTAAACACGCAAAGATGTCAGAACAATACAGAATTTTCTTGTTTTATTTAATAGGTAAACATGTCCTTGTGATTGTTTACCTAATAATTAAATCTGGCTCCTGAGCCACGCAAGCGTAACTAAATTATAGATACGAAAACAACACAAACTTCGTAATTTTAACCAGATATTGCGTAAGAATGGTTAAATTTCAGGATTTCATTTAAAATAAATTACAAATGAAACTCGTATAAGTTCCTGGTTAAATATAGTAACGGATAACTCACGTATTTTAGTCTAATTTTTGAATTTTAAAACCGTGCTCCTTAATCATGAGCTTCCGCAGCAGTGACTCAACAAAAGCTGCGCGCCAGGGCGCTGACAGGATTACCTATCCATAGTCCGAAATGACATTTTCCAGAAATAACGTTTGGTCGAAATTTCATAACCTCTAAAGTAATTTTGAGAGGAAAATGTTTTTTTATTTTAAACCTTTTTTTACGTGGGGAAATCCTCATGGATATCACTCTGCTGCGGGGGCAACAGAGAGATCATTTCGGACTCCTGCCGACTAAAACCCCACGGTATTCCGTCCTTGCACTTTTTGTCGGGACTACGGGAACGCTTTCGCACTTTTCCGCGGTCTCGACGGCGCTGGCCCTCGGCCGAGGGTCCCTTCCCATTGAGGTGGAGCTGGAGAGAAACCACCCCATTCATCACTTACAGGGGCACGCAAACCTAACAAATAGAAATCTAACTTAACCGAACCGAACCGAACCTAATTTTGTCTTTACAATAAACATTCAACATATCCTGAAAGAACAACTGTTTCGTTTTACTTCGGTTTTCGGTGTAATGAAAATTCGAACAAACGTTACTTCGGACAAAAAAAATTCGACTATGTGATAGGTTACCCCCTGACAGGCCGGTCACTCAGTACGGGTGCGGGCGGCGACGCCGAGCAACTACACTCGTTTGCTTCATTCTTATTAAGAGTCGATGCAACCTCAAATGGCTTTGGTTGATTCCGCTTAACAGAGAAAGTGTTGAATTACTTCGGAAAAAATATATAGTAAAATTGAGGGATATAAATACTGATTAGTATACGGTGTAAAAACACGATTCCCAAAAATTAATTGAACACGATAGAAAAAAAAACAAACTTACCTCGAAATTTCACAAAATTGAATTTTTTTGCATATACCAATGACTTTTTTTATATGAACTGAACGAAATAGCACGTATACAGTACACGATATACATTTTTCAAAAGTTTCACTATTTATATTCTTTATGCAAAAACCGTAGTAGCGTAATGGTTTGACCTACCGCTTTTCAAACAGAGGCTGTGGTTTCGAATCCAGACTCGCACCCCAAAGTACCTCGTATTTTATGTACCTACGTAATTTAATTTGAAATTTACTATGAGATTTTCGATGAAGGAAAACATCGTGATGAAACCTGCACGTCGAAGACGTTCACAACCCTCAGAAAACGTTTGAACCTTAAACCCTGAGAGGAGACCCGTGCTCTGCAGTGGGACGTATAAATGGGCTAATGATGATGATGACAATAGGCTTTAACTGAAATACGTGATTTTTTGTAATAATAGCACGTTACTTTAACTTTATTATTATTATTATAGATTTGAATAGGAGAGACGCACAAATTATTGTCTTTGACACAACACAAGATACGGATCTATTTGGATTGCTTACTTTATTAATTTATTTCAATTTTTGGAAGCTATAGCACAGGTTTCAACCTAGTTTAGATTTCAGCTACTTTACAAAACTATAATGTAGTGGGTAGCGTAATGTTGTTTCAGTTTAATTTTTAAATACCATTTTTTTTAATCATTTTTGTTTATTTAATCAGCTTGACTTGTAAACGTTTTGGTAATATAAATACTGTAAGCTTTCAAGTGTTTTCAGTAAATAAATAATCAGGTTATAACTAGTTTAACATTTTTTAGTTTGTGTTGGAAGAAAATAAACTTTTTTTTATTAATGAAAAATCCCTTGTACCAGTAACATGGGACTTTTCAACATATATCTCAGTATGACGGACGCAGTGGCAGTGCCCCTTCATATCTTTACGATTTATAACTCTGAGCGGCACTGCAAACGTTATGGACAGGCGTGTCGCTTACCACTAGGCGCACGACTTCTTCGTCTCGTCCTTATCCCGTCAATTGTAATCAAGAAAAAATTCAAATACTGCCTAGACCTAAATAATAATAATTTCTGTTTCCCATTGGGGTAAACAAGCACCTTGAATCACCAGCGTCTACTTTCCTGACAAATCTCTTTTGTCTCCTCCGAATTTTTCATTGGCAAGTATTTAAATAAAAATTACAAAATTTAAAAGCTGCTTTTGAATATTTAAAATCACTTTAAATTTGCAAAAGCAGCAGGCACAAATCTAAACGATCATCATTATGATTGATACTTTTCTCTGAGGCATAAAATAAGTTAAATCATCATATGATCATCGTCAATAAATTAATTTGTTCTGAACTAATGTTTGATTTGTATAAGTTTCTTGTTGAGCCTCAAAACTAAGACAAATGAGCATTAAAAAACAAACCTGAAACCAAGTTCGTTCAAGCAAGAAAATTCGCTTCGCTGCTTTTTCACACACCAACCTAACCTACTAAATGGAGGGCGCAACAAAGATTTGACCTATATGAAAAAAGAGGATCAAATATTATTTTTGATTATCAAATAATAATTTAGTATGCTTAAACGTAATAATAGTGTTACCTTGAATGCCGTACATTTATAATTTACATTTAAACAGTTAATTTAAATATTCAACATTAACAAAATATCGTTTATTTAAAAAAGTGCACATTTACAATAGATCAATAAAATAATATGATCCCTTTTTGTTTATCTATAGATACATCGGCTACACCCAAAAGCTGGCTCTCCTGCTTGACTACGACGGTACCCTGGCACCCATCGCCCCTCACCCAGACCTGGCTACCCTGCCGCTGGAGACCAAGCACACGCTGCAAAGACTCTCCAATATGTCTGACGTCTACATTGCTATTATTTCAGGAAGAAACGTTGACAACGTCAAAAATATGGTAAGTAGCATACTATTAGTACCTACATACATGACTGCATATTCCATTACGTACCTACATACCCAAGGTGGCAGTAAGGTTATTCGCAGTTTAATTAGCGTGCATGTGAGGCTATGCGATAACTACGATTACAGAGGCTTCAATGTTAGGTATTTATGTCCGACGTCAAAGGATTATTATAAGTATTGGAATTTTTTAAGAGATGAAATTGAATGATACGCCTGTCGATAAACAATTTTAGTAAGATTAATATAAAGTTTACATTTACTTACTCTGTCGAATGAGGTACATTACAATCGTTCGCGTCAATCATCCAATTATGACGTTTGTCGTGCATTCAAGATAATTGATGTTTTGTTTAGGATTTAAGAATGAAGACTATAAAACAACGACAAACAAAGAGGCGTCGATATCAGTATTGTTGTTTGAGTACAAAGTAGGATGAACAGCCTTGATCTCAAAATTATGAAAACAAAAACAATTTCATTGTATCTTTATATTGTTTCGAAGGATTCATTTCGTCAAATGTCACATTTAGTGACATGAATGGCCTCATAAGAAAGAAGAATCATGATAATAAAAAGATCGCGGCGTAAACAAACTCCGATAATAGTTCAATGTACACGTGAACGCTGCGTTCATACTTCGCAATAACAAGGTCTCATTATCGCAATGAACTTTGACAAATGCTATCGTCTTAAACTTATATTTATACGAAATGTTATTGGTCACAAATATCCTTGATATTGTTAACCGGGTTGCCTTATCTTCAATCAATATTACGTAATATTTATACTATACGGAGGCCTGGTACTGACACGTACTACATGTTTTGGTCAGCGAATGTTGACACGGCCAATATACGATCTCGTCATGGGAATAGAGTATGCATTTCAACAGCCTAACACAAAAAAAAATTCTGGTCTGGGGTCTTCGCGTAAATTTTCAAATACGTAAACTTAACTATCGCGTTTGCGTTAAGATTTTAATTTAAACCTTTTTGTTATACCATTAAGATCTAAATAAAAATCTTAATGGAAACGCGGTAGTAAGTTTGAATGATTATTGATTACAAATGTACACTTAGGCCTCTGACTAGACTCGAACCAGTGTTTGCCTTAACCTGTTAAAATAAGTTGAAGTCAGGCACTGTGGAATTAATGAGGCGCTTTTGTTTGTTTAATTCAATGTTTTGCATTGACAAGCTGCAACTTATCAAAGCTACTCCAATTTCTAGTGATAACTTACAAATCAACTAAATGGCGCATATTGCAGATTTTAAAGATATTACAATGACATTGACATGACAATAACATCGCACCGTTATTACAATAGTGTACTAACTCAAAAAGAGTATTTTTTCAGAATCTATGAAAGACAAATCCCACTTCCCGTGAAATAATGTATTAATATTTATGTATAGGTTAAAATTTGTTAAAAACAAAACACACATCCTTGCTTGTCGAATTCCGATTATAATTAAAAGTGACGTAATGTTGCAGGGGGTGTTACAAACGTTAGTAAACCATCAACAGTGACTTACGGCGGCGCCATCTATTGTAACGACGACGATTTTATTGTGTAAAGAATTTCACGTTCAGAAATAGTATAACCCTGAAAATTATTTTAATACGAATGCGATATGGTAACCTTGATCTGATGCTGCAACAAGGACGGTCTGCAAAATATCCAACTCCTCGGCTTATTCCCAGTTGTCACCACTGACTTTGTTCCCACTGGCGACAAATGGGTCAAAAAATCCCATGTGTTACCAGATGGTGACAAACGGGACAAAAATCTCAGTTTTTGCCAGTGGTGATATCTACTGGCGACAAATGGAAAAAAAAACCATGTTACCAGGTGGTGGGATAAAAAGATTTGTTCTTCTGATCTGTTGATCGACGCACGTTCATCTAGACATCAATACATGGCTCTATGTTTAATTTTTTTTTGTCAGGTTGGCATCGAAGGCATCACATATGCTGGCAACCATGGTCTGGAGATCTTACATCCTGACGGGAGCAAGTTCGTTCACCCCATGCCCATGGAGCTGCACGACAAAGTTGCTGATCTGCTCAAAGCTCTTCAGGAACAGGTAGGATCTTACATAAATGTTCCAATTCTACTTGCTTAAAAAGAACATATCAACCTGAAAAATCTTAACTCTTGACTACTTAAATTTGATATTCTGCAAACTGATTTTCGACATATTTACTACAACAAAAATCTTAAATTTTTACGTTTGGTAAACCAACATTATTCATTCGTAGGTTTGCAAGGATGGTGCTTGGGTGGAGAACAAAGGTGCTCTCCTAACATTCCACTTCCGCGAAACGCCATTAGCCAAGCGTGCCGCCCTGGCGGAGCAGGCGAGGAAGCTGATCAAAGCCGCTGGCTTCACACCAGCGCCGGCGCACTGTGCCCTTGAGGCTCGTCCGCCCGTTGCATGGAATAAAGGTAACAGGCACTTAATAAGAAATGAAACTATTTTTGCGGATTTAAATATATATTATATACGTTTCGGGCCCTTTACAGGTCCCATGGTCACCGTTGACTGAGGTGGTACAGTCATCAATATTATCATTATCTTATTTGCATTAATATTAGACATAACTGGTATACATACATGGGACCTGTAAAGGGCCCGAAACGTCGGTTTGTTTGAAAAAACAAATATACGCGATTTAAATCCGGAAAAATAGTTCTATTTCCTATGTGTAGTAATCGCGAAAACCTAAGAACTCGATAGGCACTTAATAATTTTACAATAGAAACGCCAACGTAAGAACAAACGTATGAACATTCCATCGTGATGTATGACAATGGATAGTGGACATTAGACATTGCATTAGACATTCATCTCTCTAACGATGAAGGGAAATATCGTAGTGAAACCTGCATGTCCACGAAGGTTCACAACCTTTGGAAAATGTGTTTGAACAATATGCACTAGGTAACTTAAACAGATACTGTACCTGTACTATGAGTACCTTCTTCTTCTTGGGGTTCCTCTCCTATCGGACGTTGGACTACATCATGGCAATTCTGGCTTTAGAGGTTGCCGCTCTGAAGAGCGAGGTGGTACTGCAACCGAACCATTCTCGCAAATTTTTCAACCAGGAGTGCCGCTTTCTACCAATACTTCGTTTTTCACCGATTTTGCCTTGGATGATAAACTGGAGTAACCATAAGATCCAATTTTTTCTTCAGAGTTTATTGAGTACTTCTACATTTGTGTACAACTGAATTCACTCTGGGGCACTTCCCAGAACACCCCGACCAGAACCAATTAAAGGCCTAAACCCGTGCCCAGCAGTGGAACATATACTGGGTTTATGATGACTCCCTAAACAGTTTAAAGTTTAGATGAAAATGATGAGAACGCAAACTTCCTATACTTTACAGGTCGTGCCTCCATCTACATCTTGAGGACAGCATTTGGCCTGGACTGGAGCGAGAGAATCAGAGTTATCTACGCGGGTGACGACGTCACTGATGAAGATGCAATGCAGGTCAGTTACAACTTTAGAATTCAGCGCAATGGAGATAAATTCATTACAACTCACGGTATCCTACTACAAGTTTTGTTATCTCATTATTACCTAATAAAGAGTAAGGAAGCTTTCCTAGTGATCGGAAATTTTAAAAATTCTAAAAATAAACTATACTAGAACGTTTTAAGACATGATCTATTTTAAAAAACAAATTTATATAAAAAGGTTCATGATAAACGACCATAAAATTATATTAATAGTTGTGAGTAGAATAATGTTAGTATTGGTAGCGTAGTTCTAATCTAATATACTTAATCTTCGTGTTCAGGCTTTGAAAGGTATGGCAGCAACATTCCGCATCGCGTCTTCGAGCATCACTAAGACATCAGCCGAGAGGCGATTGTCCTCTACGGACTCGGTTCTAGCCATGCTCAAGTGGGTGGAACGCCACTTCTCCCGCCGCAAGCCCAGAGCCAACTCCCTCACCTACAAGAACGCTAGAAAAGCAAGAGACAGCATACAAATGCACATGTCCTACCAATTGCCCCCAAAGACATCGCCGAAGGCGTCACCACCTCGCAGCCGAGAACATAGCGACAAATCTTCCAGTGGATCTGAATCCAGTTAATTTTGTCATTCCGCTGGTAGGTAGGAGCTGTAGCAAACCAGACACTCTTGATCTTAAGACCAAGTTAAATGTAAATATAGCAGATTGAGAGCATCTATGGGTCTTTTAGTTTCTGTATCGCAGCTTTTGTTTGTCAGTGGACGTATGCAATGCTGTCCAGTCTGTGCAATAACTAGGACTTCATTTGAGATTATAAAACAACTTATAAACAATGCCAAAAATTGCCTTCTTAAAGTCAATTGGATAGTCAGTTTTTAAATTGATACTCGAGAATTTTACTCGTAATTTTGAATTAAATATTTTATAAATTTTTATACAGGAGTTCGCGTAGTGCACAAAACAATTAACAGTATTGATTGTTATTGATTGTTCCTAATATTTCAAAGCAAACTATTTTAAAACATTTTACACTTATTTCGTTGATTACGACGAATTTAGATGTGACTGAATTTTTGAAAAATGTACTTAGTAATGCCCTAAATATCAAGAAATACCAAACATTTCCATATTCTTTGTTTAATAATATTTCTAATGCATATTTTGAGCATAGATGCTTTTATACATGATATTTATACATTTACTGCTTAGGATAACTCTTCGACGTAACTACGTATGCTCTACATTTTACTATATTTATGTGATAGAAGTGATAATTTTAGATTTAAGTACTTATGGCTATGTGTAGGTATGGTATATATGTCTGCTAAGAAAAACATCGTGCATTTCTTTCAAATAGACTAGACAAAACAAGGGAAACTATCTAGAATGAAAATGAAAATGAAGGTAATTTTTCAGTTGTCTATATTTATCTGAAATGTAACTATAGTCAAAAACCTTTTTCTGTATCAAATATATCTCTAAAAGAGATGAAAGTGCATATTTATGAAAATTTCGGAATATTATTAATAATGGTGTTTGATTTAAGTTCAATTTGACAACATAGTCTTTGTTTGTTACTAAATTTGAACCAATTTTATTCTCTAAATATTATAATTAGTAAATGTGTGTATATTTGTTTCATGGAATGTTGAGAGAGTAGAAGTAGTCTTCGTATAGTGTATGTGGCAGGATTTAGCACAATTATCCAAAAATCGCACTGAAATAACTCGAATTTCTTTGTCGCGTTTATTTTTAGAACTATAAATGTTTTATAAGGATTGCAATAAAAATTACAAACAGACGGAAAATAGCCTTTTAATTGATAAATATGTACAAAATTGTGTCGTTTATACCCTTAATTCGGAAAAATATAAATACTTCTCTGTTTTTTGACAACTTAGCAAAGAATTCTTCCCATATCACTACACATATACAAATGACCTGTCTCCGAAAAGCTTACAAAACATAAAAATTCTCTACTAAGTTGTCAACCTTTAGCGAATCATCTGGAATGTTAATAATGCACATTGTGCTATATTATAACGCAATTAATTAAACAATAGCGAATATACGACGGACCAGAGCACCCGCTCTAGTCATAATAAATATAATTATTAATCAAAATTGTAAAGCGTGTGTTTGCTTAAGACTTACGGACTATTTTTAAATGCTTTTACTGGCACCATTCTCTCGCATAATACTCTATATGAATTCAGATGTTGCTCTTTGACTATTCTCACCATAAGCCAGCGCGTAACTGCCTATATTTTATGCATTAATTCTTTGTAGTGCAGTTTTTTGCTTTTAACTTCAACTTTTGTATCTATGGCTCCGTCGTTTTGCGCGACGATTTCGCCAACGTCACAGGATTTTACAAGTTGTTTCTTCAAAGTCAAAAGCATGTTTCCTGTGAACAATTATAAAACACAGAGAGTGCGATGGAATTGCATGATTTAATTCTGCCTTCACCTTTCCCACATCGGGGGACTAGACGTAGGGGTTCCATCCCTATACTGTGAATATTCCAAAGATTCGCACGAAGCGTTACGCTTCCATATTTATATGGCGAACGGTTTTGGAGTGGAATTCCTTGCCTGCAGACATGTTCTCTGAACGCGAACTTGGACCTTTTCAAGGCTAAAGTAAATATGCATTATTTAGGTGTGCATGCTTCATTGTCACTTTCCATCATGTGAGATGAAGGTAAAATGCGCGCTTATTATATCATTAAATAAAAAATCAAAGGTTAACATTGGTGCCATGTGGTACAATGTACCAAGTCCAAATTAAGACTATATACAATACATGAAACATTTATGAATAAAACATTTGGCATTGTGCAGAACGTATCTTCATATCTAATAATCTCATGTTGTTATGGCCATTCCCAGAGTCATGAGCTCTACCAATAGTAATAATATGGGGCTCCATTACACATGATACACAAAATACAATATGTTTCTCATAAGCACAGCTTAGATACTAAAGTAAATTTTTATTGAATTGACATTCAATTTTTTTTGTGAAATGACTCCACTAGTTTGTTATAAATATTTATAAAAAGGTCCAACACTTAAAAAAAATCCTTTGATCCGGCCGAACTGGAACCGACGTGTCCTAGCAAACCGTGCAAGACGCTATGCCAACTAACCCGCGAGACGAACCAGCGGAACTCACGAAGATCTCTATGGTTGTTGTCGGATCTTAGTATTTGGTTATCAACGACTTTTTAGCCGTAGCGCCATCTATGAGAAATCTATGAAAGTATTTCGTCATCGTCGGATCGAACTTTATATTAATAATTATAACAAATTAGATACTAACGATCAATTTTTCTTACCTTCTGTTTATATACAGCTATACAACCCCTTCTCACCCTAGTGCCATTACTGGAACACTTCTTGCACTAGCACAATTTGTACTCTTCACAAACTGTCTAAAGCAAACACATCTTAATACATTAAATGTAAACTCACTTACTATATTCACAAATTATCTCTAACAGTCCATATCACATCACTAATGTACACTTTACACATTACTATGAGAGACGACTAGCCAAGATAAGATAAAGTAGAAGAGGCATATTGGATACACAGCCAATGCTTTCTTGCCTTCCGGTTGACTGTCCCCGAGGAACTTTGTAGCAGCTGGAAATGGTATACAATGAATTTAATTCTGATTGCAAATTTCAAAGTACTGCAGATTAGAGAAGTGATAACTGATTTCAAAAACAAGGTTTTTTGTTTATATTTAAGTTGATTTTGAAATTAGTTACGAGTTTGTAACTCTAATGATTAATGAGAGCACTTGTTGGCATTTCAATATTAGTAAGCCAAATATGTATTTGCTCATTTTACTCACACATTTTTTAATTTTTTAATTGGATGTTATCCCCAAATTTACAATGTCGCGTGGAAGTGGATTTTTGTAACAAAATTGTATAGTGAACAACAATACAACATCCAACATCCAACTATACACCTTTATTCGAACATCGCCTCCAGTGCAATGGAACAAGATCCGTGCAACTTGATGTGCTGCCGTCTGTACATAGCGTATTAAACTCTATGGCTCAATTTATACTGCGGCGGAACTGAATGGAAGCGATCTTTTTGTAACGATGCTTTGCATATAGCGTATTGAATTTATGGTCAATTGTGTAACGTACAAACTAGATACGAGCCAAAAGTCAGGTCACGCGTCTTCCTCGGAATTCTCGCGCATTCGAATTCCGCAGCTGTCGTCGGCGACGCCTGGCAAATCCGCGAGAAGTCTCGCGAAGACAGACGCTTGAGACGCAGATGACGCTTCCATTCCGTTCCGTTCCGCCGTAATGTAATTGAGCCTATCTCAACTGTAAAATGTACAAACTAGATACGATGTATCGTATCTAGTTTGTACAAGTACTGTAGTACCTGAAAGGAATTTCCGAGACTGCGAGAATTATCCGGAAAACGCGCGACTTGTGTTTTGGCTACTTTGCACCTTACACAATTGACACAAAGTTCATTATGCTATGTCCAAACATACTAATAAAATTTTTTACTAATAAAATTCAGCCTAACTCTTGGGGAATACGAAGACTTTCACATACAAAAGTACAACACAGTTCAATTCACAAATTTACTTACCGAAAGTAGCCCAAACGTAACCGACTATAGAAATGACAAGCCGGAGGAAGAAGAGGAACGTGCTTTGCGTACTGAATAAGATGATACGACATACTATCAGCGCCATCGCGATAGGCAGCAGGCAGTAACCCAGCACGCATACTGACTGGAAGAATGAGCTGCAACATTAGAAAAATGCTGGTCAGATCATGTGGTAGCTACTTCATTTCAGCCGAAAGCTACAACAACCGGTTTGGCGCTGCTAAGGGTGCATTCCCATTATGTCGTGACGGTAGATAGTCGTGCAGTTTTTATCGGGACGTTTTATGTGACTGTCGTCACGTTTTAATCGTGGCGTTTTAGTTATCATCAGACAACTGTCGTTCTAACTCTGCCCATTGTCACGACAGTCGTAACGACAAAAAGTCGTGACTTTTTTTAAATATACAATGCACAACACTGTAAACTGCACGACTATCTGTCGTCACAACATATTGGGAACGCGCCCTAAGGTCTTAACGTTTTATTTATCGTTTCACGACGCCGACGGTCGCATCTAGCCTGTTCCTGTATCACGACCATCTGTCGTGACTGTATCGTGGACGTTTATTTTATCGTTGAGCGACTGTCGTGTCTAGTTGTTCCCACTAGATCGTGACGACAATAATTCAAAAGGTTCAGGGCAGTCGCCTTGTCGTTTGTACGACAGGTTTATTTGAAGATGCAATTACCTGTCGTCACATTTTTATCGTGACGTTTTATTTATCGTCAGACGATTGTCGTTCCAGCTTTTCCCATTGTCTCACAGTCTGTCGTCGTAACGTCAAAAAAGTCGTGAACGACAGTTAATTGTGTTGTACTATATGTGAACAACTTCATTTAAATATACAAGCTACGACACTTTAAACTGCTTTACTAATGTCACGACATAATGAAAACGCGCCCTTACATCCAGCGAATTCTATGCCAGGTCGTCAGCGAATTCTATCCTTGTGGGTGACGAATACTACTCGCAAAGCCGAAATTTATATCGACTACTAATAAAACAAAATTAAGTAAATAGAGATCTACATTTAGACAAATTTCGATAGAAATTCAAAAATCTTTACAAGTATGTTTTAATGCTTTTTTTTAGAATAAAATAGAATACGTTTATTTGCCAGGATACAGTAATTACAAAGGTCTTAAGTAAAATTAGGTACATTGTATTCAACCTGCAAGCAGATGTGGGATTCAATGTTTAGTCTCTATAGTTTCTAATTAACGTAATGAATTTGTAAATTCTAAGTATTCTTTATTACTATAGAAGCAACGTGTCAAAAGCCATTTTGTCAATTTTAATTTAAAAGTATGTCCTTGTAACAATTTAATTTGTTTGGCAATTTATTGTAAATAATTATACACATGTTGAAGCAGTTATTCTTATAAATTACTTTATGGCAATGACAACGAGGTTGGTATAAGAGATTCATAATTTTTGATCTAGTTTGCCTTTGAATGACTTCACCGCGTGTTTTAAAATATTGAGGATGAGAATTGACAAATACGCAGAAATCCCTAATGTACATGCATGGCCAAGGTAATATGATCAGCCTTTTGAACAGCGGTTTGCAACTGTCATCGAACCACGCGCCGCAAATTGCTCGAATATACTTCTTCTAGACTTTAAACGCTCTTTCTAAGATTACTGAGTTGCCCCATAGTACAAGACCGTAGCTGAGCACGGACGAAACGTAGCCGTGATAGGCCGTCAGTTTGCCTTAGTCTTCGTAAAGCATAAACAAATAAGTTTAGGTTCATGTACATCTGTTCGATGTGTTCCTTCCGATTAAGGTTCTTGTCGATTGTTAACCCAAGAAAGTTAAATGTGTCTACTTCATCTACAGTATCAGAGTTGTAATTAATTTTAATCGGTATGGGATTTGAGTTGTAAGATCTAAATATTATAATTTTGGTTTTACTTATATTAATATTCAAGTCTTTGATGTCCATCCAACTTATTACATCTACTAATACTACTCTACTGCTGCTTATAGTTTGATGTCATATGTTACTTGAAATTTTCTTATAAGTTTGATTTTCCCTACGTAATTTTATTAATATTAGTAAATAATAAGGCTCATTATCACTTACATGTTACCACCCAGCAATTTAGAATTGAATGTAACAACAGTGGCTCCGATCCAGACCAACACAAATACTTCTGCAAACTCGGGACCGCCGTCGTTGGAATTATCTGCCCGTTCCGCTGAGCCCTGCAAGATGGTCGCCATCAATGTGCAGAGTAGAAGCGGGCCCCAAAGGTCCCCTGAAAAGAAAAGTTAGAGATGATTATGGAAGAGAAATGCGTAATTCTTGTCGTTGTATGCTATTGTTAGAGGACATGCAACACTCAAACTAATCCGTTTAGTTATTAAATACAAAGATCGAACACAAAGAAAAATTCCTTCGACCCGGCAGGACTCGAACCACGGGACCACGTAATTCCGTCCCCATCGCTCTTCTAACTACGCTTCAAAATTCTTCTGTGTCTGTTATAAGATCTTTGCATAGAGTATTTCGGCTTTCGACGCACAAAAAAATATAATGAATATCGCGGTGGTTAAGCATAGTAAATTCAATAAACAATAGAGCGTGAAACATACAGAGAGCGGTTGCGGCCCTAATCGTGTCCGTCGCGTGAGACGCGCTGTTCCTTTGCCATCACACACAATTCGGGCGCGAGTCGGTAGCGGGTCGGGCGTGCTCGACTAGATAGCGGCAACAGTTACATCGCAAACGCAGTCCCGCGTGTTGATCTTCGTCTATATAAATACACGAAATTACACACGCCCCGGGTATACGACCCGACACGCGCCCATCCCGCACTTGCTCTCTGTGTGTTTAGGTTTAAGAGTGTAAAGTATAAATATGTTTAACAGTCAGACTATCCCACTGATGAAAAATGGTTACTGCCGTCTTGTCTTTCTCTATATTCCAAACAGGTACAGCGGTGGTATTAATCCAGGCTAATTCTGCATAAAACCTATCACCTTTGAAACTACAAGTAACTACAACTAATTGAACTATAAAGTAATAGTTAGGTAAAATAGAAACTAAAGACTTACATTCCTTTAAGAGACTAGTTTTCTCTCTAGGGATGAGAACATGGAAAAATTTGTTGCCCACCGCTCTGAGGTCACGGAGCTAGAAAATAATAATACTACATTAGTCTAACACTAATAATTTAAATATCATAACATGCATACTTTGTCAAAGCGCCTAATACAATTTGTATACAAAATTTGCATTCCAGTGAAGGGAATGGACCAACAATCAAAAGGACTACTAATCTCCATACTACAGATTGTAAGGCTCAATTTATATTGCGGCGGAACTGAAGGAAGCGAATTTTTGTAACGACAAACGCTCGCGCATTCCGCGGAAGATTGTGGCGCGTATCTAGTTTGTACGTTAAGCTAGTAGCTTTAATAAACTGCAGCTCATTAATATAAAACGAATTGTTACAAAAATAGATATTTGATATACGTCGCAAACTCTGGTGTGCCAACAGTTACTAAATACCCAACTACGCTGTTTTATATCACGATTAGCCTAGTCCTCTTTTAGGTCCATGGTTCTAGATATGGTCTGTGTTTGGGTTTGGCAAGGTTATCACCACCCAAAATAGGCACCACGTCATCAACTTCTGAATACTTGTTCACTAAACCAATGCTAGAGCAAATAAAATTGTGATGACTTCACATACATTATAAAATCAGAAGCAACTAAGGCCATATCGTCTGGGTAACTATCATTAGCAAAACAGAGCTGTTTCAATGACCAATAGTGTTTTACCATTTTGACTAAACAAATAGTTCTTAATAAGCATATAAAGAAAAATAGATATACAGGATATAGATTTGGTCAATTAATTCCATCAAGGCAAATTTATGAGATACAAAACCATTGTAAAATGGCCCCTTTGAAAAAACTGCCCCATATAAAATGTTATATTGCTGATTGAGAGGGGATGGTATGGTGTAACCGGCTGTTGTGTGCAATTCGACTTCCAAGCGCTTATACAGCAGTTGTGCCTTTTTTCGTTTTGAGGGCAAAATAGTTAATTTAATATATTGTATAATAAAAACTTACAAATGTTTCTTTAATAGGTTCATCCAGTGTGTTAAACTCCACGCTGTTTTGAGCTGCTGACCCAGGTATATTCATTTCACCCTCCACCATTCCTACTCCTACATCCCCGGCAGGATACATCTGTTTTCAAAATATTATAAAGAATTTATTAGGGTATAAAATGTTTAGTAACTTAGCTGAGCTGGACTTGAATGTTGGACTTGGACCATGGACAGTAAGTGGCACAGGGTTGTATTTAATTTTAGGAGTGACTTTTAAGATTTTGAATATTCAAAGACAATCACACACATTAGGGCCGTGCCCGGAATGTGGATGTGCTCTGCTCCGTTAGGGGCTCAGAAAATATAACTGCATACATTTTGAATGAACTTGTTCACACATGTCCGTGTCCAGGTTGGGACGGGCCCGGATATCAAACAACAGCCCGGCCACATTTTGGGCATAACCTGATGTGTGTGGATAGTACTTAAGTGTTAAACTAATATTCAGTGTTTAATATTGACTATCAGCTGTACTGTGGTGCATTGGTGTAACCTACAAAAATCTAAGAAGACAAAATCCATCATCACCATCATCCTATTGTAGTCCAGTGCTGGACATAGGTCTCACCCAATGTGCACCATTTCACCAGGGTCGTTTTATTTTTTTTATCAGCCCAGATAGCACTGTGGCTTGATAGATGCACACATTTGCTTAATCTCACGGTGCACTGGATTAGGAAAGCACATGTCGCACACACCATTACATTATACAATTGAAGCCTTTACGTGGTGTTTAAAATATTTTTGACATGTCAAATAATTTTTTTTTATAAATAATAATATTTATAAAAAATAAAATTTTCTATATACAAACTTGCATTTCAATTCTATTTTATGATCAGACCATAATCAAAACTAATCCATGATCTTGGTATAAAAATATCAATATGTAAGTGTTGTATTTATTTAATTTTAATGTAATGGTACAGATTACAGAAAACTGATTAAAACACTACTTTAAAACAATGTAAAGAGAAAAAAAAATTCTCCAATGACAACTGTACTCAGAAACAAAAAAATATAAATAGTGATTTTGTAAATTAAGAAAAAAAAACAAAAATGGAACAGTTTTTTTTAAATACAAATTTAAAATAAATCAAAATATACACTTCTATATTAAAATACTAAGTTAAAATTTTAGTGACAAACTTTTTGGATGCATGAATCCTATCATGGAATATGTCATGATTACATAGTTAATTTATTTAACAAAGGTTATTTCAATATAGTCAAAATACTACTACGTACTATGATACATGATACTACTAGTACTATGATACTACTTAATTTTTTCACATTATGTTTTATAACTTGTAGATGTACAACTAAAATAATAATGTCACAAAACTATGCTCCAAGCATGTGAATGTTGCACTACTTGTCTTATTATACTACACTGTGATTGCGGTTTCCACTCAAGAACTTATTTCCACCGTCAGTTTAAAAAATAAATTTAGGAGACAATGGAATTCATTTGAAAATGTGCCCATTCCTTCTTTATTTTGATACGTTTAATTTCACACCTTATAAACAACTGTTGATACAAATTACTTACTAAGTCAATTCAGAATGAGTCACAGGAATGAAATTTTGATGCCTCTACTTAAGATTATTAGTAACTAAAAATGATCGTAGCCGTCACATCGCCAATTATCTAGCAAAGTAAAGATTCACGAAACAAAAAAGAACTCGGTTTGTGATAGACACTCCGCTGTAAAGTACCAAAATACCAAGGCAAACAGCTTTTATTGGTGTATAAAATTATATTTAATAATTTGAAATATAAAAGAGTACTGAATTTTAAGAGATGGAAATGTAAACTTACATCATATTTAACGTCGAAACTCGTCATTTCCGAATATGTTAATCAATATATTTAGTAATTAGGCCCAAGTAAATAAATTCCAACACATCAAGCGCACCCTAGAAATTTGACGTTTTGTTTTATGAGCGCTCGTTTTATAGTTATTTCTTCTGGGTACAAATGGTAGTCTAACTAAGAAGAAAAAGTGTAAGAATTATTGCTTAACCCCCCTATTTACTTAATTCCTTTCAATTCACTTTTTTTCTACATTTTTTCAAAACTTTTATATTTTGGTAAATTGTAAGCGGCAAATTAACAATAAAACGAAACTTCATTAAATTCGGATACCGTATCGGGTACAATTTAACGACAAAATAAAATACGAGTGTTAAGCTGATAAGCCAACATACAATTCAATTATATATTATATTATTATAATTCAATATATTCACCGTGAACAAGTCTGTGTGAATATTAAGTGGACTACATTTTTCCACAAAAAAAAATGTCGGTTGAAAGGTTCTGAAGAAGGGACAAACTTCTTTTATAGAAACAAAATGATGGCATGCACTATACAGCCAAGTAATTTGTGTTAAAGGATGCCATTTAAAAAAAACCTTAGGTGTCCTAAGTAGGATTTATTAGAAACTACCTATTTATTATTATATTTTTTTTTCGTATCGGTATCGGAGGGAAAAATACTGGATACCAAAAACTATCGATGCATTTTCCGTATCCCTAGTTCTATGCTCTGACATTGAGGGATTCGCTCTGGACCTTTTGGAGGGAAAAGTGTCGTTTTTGTTTTGACTTTCAATTATTTTGTGAAATCTAGTTTAAAGTGGAATAGGATAGTGCTATTGTGCCTTAATCGAAGATTAAAACGCGAAATTATACGAATCTCGAACTAAAATACCCGTATTGGCCCGTTTTAAGGAATCCCGAGTCAATCAAATTGCCTATTTTCTTTGTGGGCTATATTTATAGAAACATCATTGACTTACAATTATATGAGAAACATAATTAAACTTCATGTTTAGCCAGATGGTTTTGCCAAAGCATTAATAAATTAAAAAAAAATCTGACATTGACATTTGAACATGAATGATTGGAAAACAGTTTTCGATCCGTGTTTTTGTGTATTTTTCGCTGATAAAAACAATTTAAATCTCACATAATACCTATAGTCATTGTGCCAACAATTTAAGTCATCGTTATGCGCATAACGAGCTATGAAAGTCACTGTTAAAAGTAAATATCTTTGTTTTTAAGTCAGTGTTTTCTATTTATTGCTGTGCCATTGAGGGTTGGTTTGTGTTACATAGGCTGGACGGGGGTTGCAACGTGGCGTTGGATCGCGAACGACGACAACTGCGGCATCTGTCGCATGCCCTTCGACAGTTGTTGTCCCGACTGTAAATTGCCAGGCGACGACTGCCCCTTAGTGTGGGGAGCGTGCTCCCACTGCTTCCATATCCATTGCATCGTCAAGTGGCTCCACTCCCAGCCTCAGCAGCAGTGTCCTATGTGCCGCCAGGACTGGAAGTTCAATAACAAGTAGAGACACTTGGTAAGTTATTCACTCTAATAGTGGCATGAAAAATCACTCAAAATACCAACATCAGTAGATATTTTTTGTTTATTTATTTATTAGATAAGTAAATATAAAATGTATGTGAGTGAAACAAAAATAAATAATGTATTAACCCCTTAGTATAAAACATACGACTTATGCAGTAACATGTTAGGTTTAAATGTAATTTATTGGCAATGTAAGTTACATCTTTATTCTCCAGATTATGTGACAATTTATTTATGATGTGTTATGAAGGTAAATTCTGGACACTTTGTACATCATAAAATCCACTTGTTGTTGTATATCTAAAATCATTTCTGTTTTGCCAGTGTCATATTTGGGTATAGGTACCCTTTTTTAATTTTTATGCAAAAAGATGGGAGTTTTTGAAACCTTTGAACTGCGTATTTGTGTATCTGGCTGTCTTTCTATAGCACCTAAACTAATGGACTGATCCCATTGTGTATTCATTTATTTATTCATGATATTCCACATATAAAATACTACAAATTAAATAAATATTGAACATAATACCTTAAAACTAAGTGACTTCTACACTTAAGGAACATCACAGCATGGAATGATAACAATATCCAATGGGTTGTTATAAATTTGTTATAAATTATTACACATGATTTAGCTTATTAAATGATTATAAATGTAGTAAAGAACCAGAAGTAGCAATTATTCGTGATGGAATTTGAAACAGCTCTGACTGTTGTGGTGGTCGAGCTGGGAGTGACCGTGGTACGAAAACAAAATGAGAATGTGAAGGAAGATGGAACAATTCAAATTTAAAATTGAAACATATATTGAAATAATAGGATACAAGCGGAGAGAGGCGATACAAAGAGGTGAGATGATGGTGTAAGGAGGTCACACTGTCACAGGGTTACCTATCAGAATTCTGAAATGACATTTCCCAGTTACAACATTGCTCAAATTTTCATAACCTCGAAAGTAATTTTGACAGGAAAATGTTTTTTCTTTTAAACCTAACTTAACCTAACCTAATTGTGTTTTTGCGATAAACATCCAACATATCCTGAAAGAACAACAGTTTCAATATAATTCGGTTTTCGGGATAATGGAAATTCCAACATTGCATCAGGAAAAAAAAATTCGAGTTTGTGATAAGTTACCTATCCAATGACATATTAAAAATTAGTGTAATATAT